TGAAACTCTCCAAGGTATAATCTGCAATAATCAGAAAACTAAACAACGCTTCCTATCCACCTGGTTAACCAAACTGTCATCTCTGCAGACGCCTGAGAATCCAGCCCGGACCTGTTTCCTGAACGCAGTCTAATTTTGTGCAAACATTTAATAAACTCTGTTAAACTTTTCATCTGTCTCCTGGTAGTGTTCTGCATGTGGGTTTGATTCAGAACCAATCATGACAGTAAATGGGGCTTATGCTGACAGGACTGCAAGTGAGATCACGAGTTGAATACTGAGTCCATCATCTAATCACCCTGTCTAGAGCCACTAATTATTATAGATATATGCTTACAGTGGGGCAAAAAAGTATTTAGTCAGCCATTTAGTCTGTTTGTGCTGTAGACATGAAATTTACCAGGTTATTAAAAGAAAATAATTATGCAAATTAGCTTTTAGTAGTTACTTTAAATTAATCATATAGTTAAAAAGTAACTCTGGCTAGATATAGATTAACAAAAAATGAACTGTCAAACTTCTTAAGCTTAGGGATTTACTTCTAGCTGGTTGAGGTAAAGGGAGAATCAGCTGTATGTTTTTATTACTGTGGCCCGCTGGTCTGAATGTGTATGGTTGTTTCTGTATGACTCGTTGTTCCAGGGCTTCCAGATTAATAGGAACGCATGCTAATGAATTACCCAGAATTCCTATAACCTGGGTAATACAATCCGAGGCTTTAAATTATTGGACTTTTTGTGGAAAAGAGACTTATGATGTCTTTACAGAACATTAGTAGAACTGTTACAAAGCATGTATCCTTTTCTATCCAATTCATTAAAGTTAAAGTTTGTAATTTTCGATTGTGTCAAAAATTTAAACAGTTACTCATTCTGCATGGGATCACTATCAATGACTTGTCTGCTCATTTTCTTACTGATCAGCCATTATGCTTTTGTTATAACTCGTACAAGTGATACACAGGAGAACAGTTTTATAGCCATTGTACAGGATACCATAAAATTGTTTTACATTTGTTGGTTTTTTTTCAAAGTAATATTTATTTTCCTTGTGGCTCTGTAGATTTTTTTTATTTGTTTTGTTGGTTGAAACAAATAATCTAAAAAGCCAGTAAGTGGTAGTTACACTATATTGCCAATAGCATTGGTTCATACCCCCAAATTGATTTTGTTCATTAAAAAGAAAACCGTTGTTTTTTTAGAGATTATTTTGACACTAATGGCCTTTATCTAAGGGTTGGCTGACAGAAATTGGGGTTGAGAAGGGAAGCTATATGGTGAATCAAACCCATGACAACCGCATTGTGGACCAAGACCTTCTTGGATTGGTGGGATGCTTTGCCCCTTTGCTACCCTACAACCTACACCTTTTTTCCTATTCAGAGTGACTTGTTCTCAGTATGATGAACTTGATTAGATATGTCTTTTGTACCATCTGGTATTGAATGATCCACTAAATCTGATTTTATTGTTATATAATTATATTTATTTTTACTTTGTGTAATCGGATTAGAATCTGGCTATATAAATAACTGGCTTGAACAGATTGATTGACTGCTTTGAATTTTGTTTAGATAGTTCTAAACTACGCATAATTGGATATGAATAGAAGATTTTTGTCTGGTAAATAGAGAAGAAAATCCCTTTATCGTCCCACAATGAAGATTCTGGAAGAGATTACATTTGTTTTGAATTAGCACAATATAAATAAACTGAACTCTTTGTCATTATGCTTGTGTGTAGAGGACAAACTGTCATCATGCAGCTGCAGTCAGTCTATGTTTTCTATTAGCTTTTAGGGGATTTTTGTAGGGAGTTCTTAAAATACTCTTCTTGCTTAGTCATTCCCCTCTTCTAATCTTATCTTTATCTTCCTCTGTCTATTATGTGCAAATTCCCCACACATCCACTGATGCCCATTCAGCCAATATCAGCCCTCTACGCATGTCTCCTATGGAATACTGTGTGAACAAATTTTTTAGGCACAGTCTAAAGGACTGAATGTAAGTCAACAGAAAGTGCAGCGCCTTGAAAAACCTGCTCTACTTCTGTTTAAAGGCACACCTTTACCTGTCAGCATAGAGCCAGTTAGACTTCATGAGAATTTTTTCTAGTCTACAGAAGTGAAAATGAGATATAAATATAGTTATAGTGAATGAGTCACATGGTGTCATATTGCAGTTGTGAATTTAACAGACAGGTTTAACCATTTTGAATTTAAAGGAAATCACATAAATCAATTAGTTGATTATATCCAAGCTCTTCTTGACAAATAAACAGGTTTTGAAGAGACAACTTTTAAATACTCTGAGAGAGCAAATTGACATTCTAACTTCTAAATCCTAATATTTAAAAGTGTCAATATTTTTATATGGAGATAAACCTACGATAGAATAATAGTATTCAGTGTCATTGCGCTTCCATGTGATCAGGATTTTTTAATTAAATATAGGTAGATGTGTCATGACACCATAAGTAACTAACCAGAAATGGACTGTTCTCAAGGTGCCCCCTGCTGGTGACAACAAGAAGATGGGAATCCTGCACACAAAACTATCAATAAATACAGAATTATGGCATCTTAAAGGTGCTTATGGATTGTTCACACTTTTCAACATTTTAAGAATGGTTTACTCTTTTAGGAAAATCCTCCTGCCCACCCCATCACCATTCAGAAGTGTACAAACACATTTAGATTCCTCCCCATCCCTATTTACTGTAGCCAGAACTAAGAACCTATGGACATAAATTGCAAGGTAAAATTATTATTTCTAACTGTTTACTGACAAATTTGCTTCATTTAAACAATTAATTCTTAATAAACAAATCATAAAATAAAATCATTGATTAAACATCAGTAAAATGTGCAATAATATGAGTTGAAAGGTCATAAATTTAAAACTGTACACCAGCTGTACATGGAGTGGTAAATTAATGTGCTCTCCTTCTAATAGTTTAATCACAAGTCACAGGATTAACACCTACTCTAACTCCAGACCCACCAAATCATGAGAAGTGAAAAAAAACAAAAACACAATATGATTGCTGACCTCAAAAGGATAAACACCAATGGAAAATACAGCAATATATATTTATTTCCAGCAGAAAACTATTGCCTCAGACTAAAGCCACAAACAGGATGAGTGACAAGGGGAGGCTGCTGAGTAGACAAATTCTAATTGGGAAACTATCCATCCATTTTCAGTCACGCTTATCCCTGGTGGTGTCGTGAGGGGTGCTGGTGCCTATCTCCACCTGTGTATGGGTGATGGGCAGGTTACACCCTGGACAGGTCACCAGTCTATCGCAGGGCAACACAGAGACACACAGGACAAACAACCATTCACACACACTTTCACATCTAACAACAATATAGAGAAGCCAGTTAACCTAACAGTCTTGTTTTTGGACTGTGGGAGGAAGCCGGAGTATCCTGAGAGAACCCACGCATGCATGGGGAGAACATGCAAATGACCCCGGACCTGAGATCGAACCCGGTATCTTCTTGCTGCAAGGCAGCAGTGCTACCCACTCCGCACTGTTTCCAGATCCCAGTTCAACGTATTTTCTTTTAAATAAGTGACCAACAGATATGCTTTTGTAAGAAAAACAACAAAAATAGCTTAAATATTAATAAATGTGTATTTTTAATGCAAAAACGGGCTTACATTTTAAATTCAGATTAAGAAAAAACAAACAAACACAAAGATCAACAACTGAAATGTTTAAAGAAATTTTGAGAAATTCGTACATGGATGTCCAAACATTTTGTCATGTTGGTCAAATTCATAAGTCAGGGCCAAAAAAAGCCCCCCAAAAAAGGTTAACAATATAATATAATGGTGAGCCCAAAAATATGTAAGTGTGCCTGTTGTTTTGCCGTTTAACAGTAAATTAAGTATGCAATTTGTGATGTTATATAGGAAATTGATATTCAAAACGTTGCTGATCCTTAAATAAGGTTTTACATGTTTGCATAAAAAAAACAAATTGTAAAAACATGTAATGTCTTTTTCAATCCACAAGAGAGAGCAAGTGACACATTTTTATTGGTAACCTGTTGCCTTTGCTTCAACGCTGACTTCTTAGAGCTGTTTTTACTCTTGAGACTTTTTAAATATAACAGTATTCCCAGATCTTTAACACCAAAAATTATGAGGAAAAAATGGATGATTATTGAAAAAAAACCGACCCAGTTTAAAGTTAAGCGGGTGAATGTTGCACATGTTGTGATGCCGTGCCACTGTCCAGTCAGATGTGGTGCTGAAATTCTACATCCGTGATTCTGGACTTTAGAAGTGGCTTTTCCTTTCATCCAAAAATGTGTAGCACAAACAGGCAACAAGCAAAATGTTTCACCACATTTAGAAGAAGAAATGTTGATTTCGTTCTGAGTTTATATGTCAAATATTTTCTCATCCACATAAAGTAACGCTAATGTTTACTTTACACGGACTTCTCCCCCCGCGAGCTTCATGACTTTTAATTATTTGGCTCTTTGAGACACGCTTGGATTTATTTTTTCTCTGTGGGCTTGTCGCCTGGATACAGCAGAGAGCGTCCTTGGTATTTGTGATTGTAAATAGCTTCAGGAGAAAGATGGCCGGGGTGGCAGTGGTGGGGGGGCGCTGATAATTTGAAGACGTGCCAGAGTTACAATGTTGGATTCAAAGGGCAATTCAAAGAACTAAACTATGCACTTTTTTCTCTTTATTCTCCACTCTTTTCCCTCTCTGTGTTTTTTTTCCTTCCCTTCTTTCTTTTCGCACGGTTGCAGGCCGTTTGAACCGACCAATGGGCCTTCAGGTTGGAGACATTGGAATGTAAATGAGCCCAGCGCGTGCTCCCGGCGCAGTGAAAGCTTGGATTGTTTATTGAGCTCCCTGAGCCACGCGCCTGGCCCTGGGGTGGGGGGGAAGAATCACACAGCGGGGGCGGGGCCTCGCCACGAAAAGCGTGCGTTTCCCCCAAAAAGAAGGGTGTGGGTGGGGTGCGTGCTGGGGCGCGTGTTGAAAAAGAGGAGTGCTGCCAAAGTTTGGGTCAGATCGGCTCGTGGAGTGTAAGCAGTCAAGAGAGAGTTGGAAGAGAGTTAGCCACACGGTCCCCACGCGAAGGACACGAGAGCTGAACACTGCCAGCCCACTCACGTATTCCCTGAATTCATCACATTAGACGAACTGTCAGCGAGATGGAAACCGCGACCATCACCACCACGCAAACGGCATTCACCTTTGGACGCACCACCCTCAGCCTGCACGCCCCAGCGGTCCAGGACGCACCGGGTCCTGACGCACACCAGAACACCAGCGCAGCCCTCGCCTTCCAGAGCAAAAACAAGGTGCTGAAGAGACAGCGCTCCAGCTCCCCGGAGCTGCTTCGATGCAAGCGCCGCCTGAGCTTCAACGGGCTCGGTTACTCCATCCCCCAGCAGCAACCCGTGGCTGTGGCCCGGCGGAACGAGAGGGAGCGAAACCGGGTCAAGCAGGTCAACATGGGCTTCCAGACGCTGCGTCAGCACGTGCCGAACGGTGCCGCCAACAAGAAGATGAGTAAAGTGGAGACGCTGAGGTCTGCGGTGGAGTACATCAGGGCTCTACAGCAGCTCTTGGACGAGCACGACGCGGTCTCAGCCGCTTTCCAGTGCGGGCTGCCGTCCCCGACCCTCTCCAACAGCTACTCCGCCGACCCGGAGTCACCTCACTCAACCTACTCATCAGACGAAGGCAGCTACGAACCTCTGAGCTCAGAGGAGCAGGAACTGTTGGACTTTACCACCTGGTTCGACAGGTATTGATGCTGTCAGCCCTTAATCCAAAACATCAGCATGGATTTGAGAAGTGCTGACCCAGCTTTCTTTAACCTGCGCGCTGTGCCTGCAGGGGAACTGTATCTCCTAAAGCTTCTGAGGGAGCAAAGCAATAGTGAGAAAACGAGAGAGAGGGAGCATCCTGTCGCAGATCAAAAGTGGCCCAGCTGAAAGTAAGAAAGAAGAGGAGCTGGACTCACATCGATGCGTGCAAACGTTGGCGCTCTGTTGGATTTTAAGTGCAATTAAAGCTGCAGGACCCTGCAGAGACGGAGCTCCGATTCCTGCAGGACTGCCTTCCTCACCCGCTGCACTTTTTGTCTCCCGCCTGGAAGATGACGCGTCAACAGACTTGTTCATTTATGACGTAGTAGCTTACATTTTGTAACACTATCATAGGACAATTTGTTTTAACACGGAGACATTATTTTTGTACAATGAGCCAAACAAAAAAAAAAAAATGTTATTACTGCCACTTTTCTGACAGCCAGCTGTCAGGTATGGCATGTGTGACGTGTATGACTACCTGTGACAGATTGTAGTTTTTCTTCTTTTTGATAGACATTTATTGATGTATGCACTTGTTTCTCGTAGCTGAAAAATGTAAATATTCAATTTTAACAGATATATTTTGTGTAAAACAAGTTTTTTTTATAAATAAAGTCAAACCTATTTATATTATGGCTTTGCAGTTGGTTGGCTCTTCACTTTATCTTGCGAGTGCATGTGTGTGTGTTGATGTAGGCAAGTGTGTGGGGCGGTAATTGGGCAAAATAGAGGGAAATTCTCTTCTATTCAGAGCTCCATGCGTGACCTTTTCCCGACTTGGTTGGGCACAGGGGGAAAATTGCGCAGCTGGGTGAGCACTCAATAACAATTATTGACGCGCACCTTCCACAGCGCTTTGTCCGCTTTCATGGCGGGGAGATTAATATTACGTTTCATGCATCGCATTGTTTTCTTTTGCATACACCAATAATAGCGCAGAGTGCCTGGGGCTGAGGGAGAGGATGGAGAGGGGAAGGAGGGGGCGGCGTTCTGCAATTCACTTCAGTCAAAGGGACACTTTGAAATATAGCCCTAGGAAAGTCAGCGATACAATGAGGTGGGTCAAAATTCTTATTGCCCGATTGAGATCAATCTAAATAAAAACCTGAAGCTGTATGGCTGCTTGTATCCCCGACTGTGCTTGTCATTGCGCACACAGGCCAATCAAGGAGCACAACACCCCATTGTGAGCGCCATTGTGCAGAGCTTTTGCGCTTCATTATGCGAATTATGGAAGATCTTCTGTGGTAAACAAACACCCAATGCCAAATTCAGGGAGAGAAATAGAGAACTCATTATTTAAGGCGACCAAAGCCTTTTCGGCAATAGTTAAAAAGGGTTATAAAGTGAGATTTTTTTAAACTTTAAAAGTAATTATGAAAAAAGCGACTATCTTTAAAATCAAGTTAATCTCATTGTCATGGTTATGAAGCTGTGATATTCATGAGTCTATAATCCCAAACTTGCATCTTAATTTGATGATAATCAATTGAACATATAAACATCATAACTATCTCAAGATTATAACAAATGTAAGACTATTTTATAAATATTAATTTTAAAGTCAGAATTATGACAAATGAAACTCAAGGATGAGCTCCAAAATCAAAAGAGTCGATCTAATTTTATTTAGGATCTTGCATCCCAGCGTTATAATTTGGAAAGTTGATGATGTTTTAGATTACAACATGTGACAGAAATTCTTGGAAATTGGTAAATTGATGATTGTTGTAATTGACTTTTTCAAACAATCAAAAGTGCAATAGTTAAGATAATAAGTTTGAATCAGAATTACTTTGAATTCCAAGATTAGGCATGTCAGGCATATATGTTTCAAAAGGCAAAGTATGACTTTTTTCCAAAAATACTCTCCATGTTATTATGGCATTGGATATCAAATTTATAACGTTAAGTCTGATGATCAGAAATTGTAAATACTTAAAGGCTATTTGCATCTCTTAAGTTTGGGGTTGTATACAAAAATGTAAGTGTAAAAGTCCAGACTATAACTTTATTCTTTACTTTGAAGCTCATGTCTAGTAGTCTATATTTCAAATGGCAGAAATGGGTTCCACAACTGACTCCTTCTGTGGGAGGATAAAAGACCAAAACATGCTGAATGATTCTGAGCCTATAGAACTTTTTATAAACAAAGAACTCTCCTCCGATCCTCCCAAAGCAGACTGAAAGACAAACAGCAGCCTGCAGGTGTGAGCCACGTGCCTGCGCTCGCAGACAAAGCCTCTCGCGCTCCTATTGGATAACGGCTCGCGCATGTGAAGTCTGTCAGGTGGAGGGAGCGACAGAATCAAACAAGTGATAGATGGCGTTAATTATCATCCGCATTATAACCTTTAACGCCATGGAGAATCAAAAGGACGAATCAGTGCGAGGCGCAGAGGGACCCCCGCTGGTCCACTATTGTGGGCTTGAAATGTGGTTTTTGACGCGGTTCAGTGTCAGACAGAGGCCACAGCACCAAGTAAAAATAGGAGCTTGTCCCACGTCCCGTTAGGATGGATATGCTATTCTTTCCTTGAGGAGCTGAAGGGGTGGATGATTTATCCATGTCAGTTTATGCAGGGGTCATTTTCACTTCCACAGTGTATAAGGGTCATTTTAATTTTAGCTCACCATAAATCAACAGCTGCTCATGATTGTTTTTCTGTTCAAACCAGTGACGCATCGCTATGTAAGATTGGTGATTGGTCAGCTGTTGAATGCATCAATCAGAATGTTTGAATTGGTTTAGTATCGTTGTCATTGGAAATTTAAGGTCATGTTTGTGATAAACTATGAGTTACATTCTGGAGCAACTGTTTTATCCCCTTATTCCCTTAGATGCATGTAGCTGATCCCAGCCGCATATATGAATGAGCAGAAAAAGTCACCAACTTTTGCTGAAATACTGTTTATTATTTTGAACAACACTTGTATTCCAGTCACCTCTCTCTCAGAAAACAAGTAAATTTTTTATATGTTTTTACACCAGATTTAAAAAATATACATTACACCAAGCTGTGATGTAAATATATCGCTCTGCTATTTTGCAAAATTTTTGCAAAATCTTATAGCATTTATTCATTTTCAAATTTTGTTAGAACAGTGTGCAGTCAAACGAACAGACCAAATGAAGCAACAGCGAGAAGCCTCCCTGAGAAAGCAGAGAAAACATAAAGTCAGGGGTTGGAGTAGCAAATACTGCAGATTTGGAGAATAGAGATAGAATGAAGCAGAATGATGAAAAGTGGTCCCTATGTCCTCCAGCAGCCTAAGCCCATAGCAGCATAACCATAGAGATAGTTTTATCAGAAAGGAAAGTTTTCAGCCTAGTCTTAAAATTAAACAGGATGTCTGCCTCACAGACTAAAACTGGTATTTGGTTGCACAGGAGAGGAGGATGATAAATAAATGATTTGCCTCCTGTTCTACTTTTAGTAACTCTAGGAACCATTAGTAAACTTACAGGCTGATAACAAAGTGCTCTACTAGGAACAAAAGAAACAAGTTAAACCTCTTAGAGGTTCTAGTTATAGGATAGAACTTGGTTATTGAGGGCTTTATACAAGAGATGAGGATTTGAAATAATTTTCTGGATTTATGGAGAGCCAATTAAGAGAAGTTAAAATGGCAAAATTGTGTCTTTTTAAAATTTTCATCATAGCCCTTGTTGTAGCATATTAGATAAGGCGTTAATCTAAACACATTTTTTTGGACTTCCTAAGAGTAAATAATTCCACCAGTTCAGCTTTAAAGTGAGACATGAATGAAATACTTTTTCGGGGCCACTCCTGGACAGAATAATTGTAATTCGGTCAATATCCCTGAGGTAAAACAAGGAAACCTTTGAAAAGTGTTTATTATTTAATTTAAATTATATGTCTTTTTATTCTTGTCTTTTTAAAAATATTAACCTCTCTGTGTTGGTTGTTGGCATACATTATATTCCTAGAAGAAAATAAAAAGTTTATTTTAATATGTCAAGAACATTAAGGCCAGTCTCATGTCTATTGGTTTTGTGATTGGATCTATTTCGATCATTGAAACTATATGATATATTAAATTTGCATATATAATTATGAATATCGGATCTGTGGCTTTGAAATATTTTTAACTGACTACAAACTTTAAATGGAAAAAATACAAAAAACTTCATTAGGTAAATTCTTTTGATGTACTTTGATAGCGTAGGTATTTTTTAATGAACAAGGAATGACAGAATCGATGTGATAAAATATTACTCTGAGTGGTTTTAAAGCTGTTGGTTTACATCACATCTCTTTGGACCACGATAACATCCACACATAAAACTCATCATTATTGACATAAAGTTTGTGCTAGCTCCAAAAGTTAGTAACATAAAGAAAAAGATCTTACCTGTGCATAAAATATCAGTGATTTGTTTTCTTTCACACAGAAATTAACCTAATGCAACTTGAGTGCCATGTTATTTTTCCTTTTAATTTTTGCAAAGATATTTATTTTTAATTCCAAGCCTATATAATAAATAATCTAAACGTTTTTTTGGTTTATCGGTCAGACCAAAAAGTGCAGATGGTACACACACGCAAAAAAATTAATTAGAAATAGACACCGATGTGTGATAACGAGTTGCTTTTGCAGCCTTGAGCTCTGCTTACAGAGGTGTTAATGTTTAAGTAGGCGCTCCACATGAGTTTATCTTTAACATAGACAGAAAACATGCAGAGCTGGTGTTCAGTAGTCTCATTTATCCCATCACTCACTTACCTTACTCACAAGTGGTGGAAAGTGACAAAATACATTTACTTGATTACTGTACTTAAGTACTTTTTTTTTTTTTGAGTATCTTTACTTTACTTGAGTCATTTTTGGGGGGAGTACTTATAACTTTCACTCCACTACATTTTAAGTCAAATATTGTACTTTCTACCCCACTACATGTTGAGAAACCTACTAGTAACTTGTTACTTTTGGCTCAGCTTAGCTTTGCAATCCACTGTTGCTGTTTTTCTTTCTTGAAAGGCTGTTTCAAAATGGCAGATAGCAGCCTTTAGGACTGAATTTGTACTACACTGTTTTAGAGATTAACATGGCATTCCACAAATGTGAGAAACTCGGGGCAGATATTATTTGTAATTCATAAATTTTATTAAGACGTGAGTTGATGCCATGTGGCCAAGTTGTTCAGTTGGACGAGTTCTCATATCAGAGCTGCAGTTTCTTTGTGATTCTAGATACAACCTTAAACCTCTATTCCATAGCATGTGAGGAAAATCAAAAATCTCCTGTTTTATTTTTGGTTTGGTTTTAAATAAGAAATAATAAAACAGCTTTTTCTTTTTTTGTGGCCTTTTTATGCTAAAGTTCTTTACAGGTGTTGTAGGATTTGTACCAGGTGATACTATGCATCAATACTTCTGGTGGTTTCTTAAAGTTACAAGGTTCTTGAAAATCCCTCTGAAAATATGAAAT